GACTCATCTACAGCCCTGCCAAATTTCATGTTGATCGGTGCAGCTGTTTCTGTGCTACGGTTGACCAAAAATCACTGAAGAAAAAAAAAAAAAAAACAGTACGAAAACATTATGACTCCCGCTTACGCTTCGCGTGCGGGAGTCATAACTATGTGCAGCAAAAAGACAAAAGGACTAACATTTGTAGCTAGAGGGTAAAATCTAAAACTGGATACAATCTAACAGGGTGTGAAATTGCAGACCTGTCAGCCCTGCTTCAGAACAAGTCAGGCATTTTCTTTTACCAGAACTACTTTTACCATTCTTCTCAGAGTTTTCAACAAAACATAATCTCCTAGACTTTGTTTTATTTCTTTAAAATAKGAACTTCCTACATTCAGTCAAACCAAAACCAAAAAATGATGACTTGKCTCGGACCACAAAACATAAATTAAGTGTGGGTTTAGCTCAGGATCTGTAAGTTTGCACCAACTTGAACATTTTCACATCAAAGCACCTTTGAATACAGAAGAGTGTGAAAAGGTTTATGATGACTGAGGCTTGAACGTTACAGGAACATCTACCTGTGATGATGGCGCCGTGGAAGTCTGCTTTTAGAAGCTTCTGCTGCACAATCTGTGGATTGCTGGAAGAAACAAGACTAAAATTTAAAAAGTAACAAGCAAAATTGAGATCTAACATAATGACAGATATAGAAAAGAAATGGAGGTGTGTGAAAGATGAAACTGGTTCACCTTGTTGGTTTCAGTCCCCCACACAGGTCAACTATGTACTGCTTCCAGAGTTCATGTAAAGGCAGGAAAAGCTCATATCTACAATGACATTAAGTGATTTTAAAAACAAATGGAAAACACAGCTTTAAGCAGAACATTATAAAGCAGTCATGTTTCAAGTCCCAAACTGATTTTCACCAGATAAAAAGAAGAGAAAGTGTCCTGATCTGATGTCTCCACACACCTCTGGTGTTCAGGCTTGATCTGGAAAATCTTCATCTTTCTTTTCTGTCGTGCATTTAACCCTCTGGCTTTCTTGCTCTTTCTCTTCTCCTTCTTGGGTCTGGCAAAACCCAGGACCACRGCCTTGTGGGTTAGGAAGTCCTTCAGGTCATGGCGGGCAGGGTTTCGAAGGCTGTTCTTCAGGAAGGTCTCGGTGAACACTGCTGCTTTAGAGCTGCTCTGAGGCTAGAGATGAGATTAGAGATGTGACATCTGGTCTCTCTTGTCCCGTAAAAACACACCAAACAAAGGTAGGTTTGCAAAATCTGATGAAAACTCCTGAGAAACATCTGCTTACCTCAACCTGAAGGCTCTTCACTAGCCCTTGAGGTATTTGGGAATAAAGCTGTGCTTCTGTTGAAACGACACAAATTAAAATTATTGTTAAAACATGGAGGTTTTAAAGGTTKTTTTTAATCTGCACATATAAAAACAACCACACTAACTGGATTATAAAGTTCTAGTAGGGAAGCCCAACAGGCATTAATGTTTATATGCAAAAATAATTTTGTGTTTTATTTAATTGCAGATTGAGAAAATAAACCTTTCTGCACAAGTGGTTGATGGGTTTTCAGTCGAAACAGCAAAACCTGCAGAGGCATTTTACGCTATAATAAGATGAACAAATAAATGCAGGATGCATGTTGTATGAGCCGAGACTGAGAAATCAAACACAGCTGCACGGTGGTTTTATGCATGTGAAGTGGTCCCTGTGCAACGTGCAAATTCCTCTTTATGTTTGGAGGGTAAGTCAAGCCTCCCTGCACCAACGCTGATGTGCACTTAAACAAATCTACAGTGCTAGGCCCACAGTTTCAACCTCAAGACCAGGAAATGCCCATCGAGGGGGAAGATAAGCTTGTGTTTCAGTATCTTAAAACGAATCCTAATAAAAAGTTTTAGACTCTAAAAAAAAGCCCATGGTTGCACCTAAACAGGTCGAACACGTTTCAGTCCCAGGATATTTTTCATTTTGACAAAGAAAAAAAAAAAGAAAAAAGTTAATGATGGGCCGTCTCAAAGATCACACCATGCTCCAGGAGRTTTTATGTAATCATATATAGTTATTTAGCAATATCTGCGAAACTGTGTAATGGCAGCACGTTGAACGGTGCAATCCTAAAAGATGTTCAGTTTACGACAAGGATTGATTCTGATATAAGCTGTGAACTAAACAACTGCTAAAAGTGTTTACAAGTTTGACGTTTTAATTTTTATTTAACTGATTTCTCTTGCATGACATGCTGTTTACATAAAATGTGGGAGGAGCCTGATCAGACTTTTGGACCTTGCCCATTAAAACAGTGCAAGTTTTGGTTTACTTTTCTAAAACTGGTTTTGCAGGAAGTAAAATTATGCTGAGTCACATCATTGTGACGGTAATTACTGATGTACAGAATCTGCTGATTGGTACTTTCCTAAGTCTTACCTACTTTTCATTAATTATTTAATTTGATAGGATTTATGAGTGATAAAAGCCTGAGCACTTCTATTTGTAAATGTCTGCTGTGATTTTTGTTTTGCTGTTTTAGAGTCAGACGCATGCAAAAAAAAGTCGTTTTTCTACTGTCTGTCATTAATGCATTCTATTTTTCTCCTTATATGTGCTGAAAATAATTCAAGTATTTTTAAATTATATACTGTAAATGTTTAATACTGTACATGTTTTGATACAATTCATGTCTATGTAGTAATTACTGGAATGAAGTTCCCTTTAGCTGAATAAATTGGTCTATTTGTGTCAAACTTAGGGGTGTAAGAAAATATCRATACACTGAAATATYGCGATATTTCATTTCCCRATACTGTATCGATATTCTAAAGCCCTGTATCGATTTTTAATTAAGGTTTAAAATGTCAACCTTCTTGCCATCCGTTCATTTTTATGTTGTAGTTCAGCCTCTGACCRCTAGTTGGCAGCAGTGAGCCAGCCATTTGGCTCCTCTACCTCTTGAGCGCCAGACAGTAAGTGTAGCATTAGCATTGTAAGTAAACATTAGCTTTTTTTTCAGTAAGAGGTTTTTATTTAATAGAATTTTTGGACAATATATTGCCTTGCTTACAGTATCGCAATATATCGGGATATATCGTATCGTGACCCCTCTGTTATGATATGTATCGTATCGCCAAATTCTTGCCAATACACAGCCCTAATCAAACTAGCGCTGTATCTTCAGTATTTCTGTCCAGTTTATAATCTCTTTTATAGTTTTCTACTCTTTAAGATTCTTTTCATCAAAGTTTTATTTTAGCATTTATGAAACTTCACAATGTTGGGTAATTGCAGAGTTTAGATAAACCTTTTGACTTTGGCAAATGACTGGATTAGTTGTCACGTTTTAATGACTATAGATACAGAACACACTTTTCTACAAACTGTTGTTTGTTGACTAAAAGGTCATGAGATTACTAAACTGAAAATGTGTTTTGTGCAACTAYTGGTGTCTTCAAACCTTAAACTTTGGGTCTGTTTTCTATAAAYTTCTATCTCCAGATCTATTCCATGTTTTTAAGAAACCTTAGAGCAGTTAATAGACTACAGAGCAGGGAGTAAGTGGAAGTGAGCCTGGAGAGACGTATGTGAATGAGAGGAAGGTGAAAACTAGAGGTGTTAGTGAAAGATGAAGCAGAGGGTGCAGGCAGGAAGAAGACAAGTGTTAGGAGTGATTAAGATGCAAGTGTGAACTGCTGTATGGTTTGGAGAAGCATCACTAACAAAGACAAGAGTTGGTGATTGCAGAGATCTAACCAAAATATGCAGAATTACAAATGAGTATCACAGGAACAGCTGAGGTTGATCATTTAGTATGACTCAGCTAGAAGAGATTATGAAAGCAGAGTTTTCCTCCTAAATGAAAAAGACAGTATTTGCTGGCAGGAAGTGGTTTTATCTTAATTCATGTGTAAGAGAGATCTCCTTTTACTGTGTTGGAACAGACAACAAAAATACAGGAAATCCCCTCCTGGTTAACAGAGAGACATAACCGTAATCAGCCAATTCGCTGACTTTATCACATATGCGCTTTAAAAACAATAAAAAAACACGTGTTTTATTTGCGTCATTAAGTTGAAGTTACCGTAAGCCGGTCTATCTGCTGGATCTTCTGCTCAGATCCAGCAGATAGACTGGAAGTGCAATCTGATGCAAGGCTGAGGTTGTTTGGACACGTGTAGAGGAGGTACAGCAGAAATATTGGACAAAGGAATTTGAAGCTGGCAGGGCGGGAGGAAAAGAGGAAGGCCACAGAGAAGGTTCATGGATGTTGTGACACAGGAAGATGTTGGGATAGAGTGTTAGTGCAGTGTTTTTCAACCCTGGTCCTCAAGGCACACTGTCCTGCATGTTTTAGATGCTTCCCTGCTTCAACACAGCTGATTTCAATTGATAACTGATTAACAGGCTTTTGTTGAACTGTAACCACCTGAATCAGGTGTGTTGAAGCAGGGAAACCTCTAAAACATGCAGGGTGGTGTACGTTGAAGACCAGGGTTGGAAAACACTGTTTACAGGATGTGCTACTGAAAGAATAAGTGGTTTTAAATTATTCAAGTTTATTTTAGTTCAAAGGTCAAGAGTCCAGGACTTAATTATCTCATATTAGTCTGTGTTTCAGGAAGACCGTTTTAGACCAGGTCTATTCTGTTTGCCTCTCCAGGGGTGTGCAGCCCTGGTCCTCTTTCCTGCATGTTTTACTTGTTTCCCTGCTCTAACACACTTGATTTACTTACCTTTTAGAGCTCTTAATCACCTATTCATTCAAATCAGGTGTGTTGGAGCAGAGAAACAAGTAAAACATTGCGGTCCTCAAGAACCTGGTCTGATCACCCCTGCTGATCAACAATTACAAAAATAAAAGAAAACGACYTGCTTTGAAATCTGTATTTTTGACTAGTGCAGTTTAAGAATATATTTATATCATGACAAATACATTTTACAATTCACAATTTCTTCTCAGCAGTCAGATAAATTGTTCACAGTCATCACGCTTGTTTTCTTTCATTCGACTAATCGACGAACTGAAGTTAGCTTCCGATTGCAGCTTCCGATTCGGGAAATGACTAGGGATTTTACAACTAATTTTTCACTCCCTTGCGCGTGTTTAACCTGCTCTAGCTCAAAAACCACAACACCTGGACTCTTCAAATCTGGACTAGATTATTCTACACTAATAGTGGAATAATAAAAACTAAGTTTGACCTTTGGGAAACCTTTGTCTGATTTGTAAAAAAATCAATAAAGTTTGTTTTTCATCATTTTTAGGCAACTGGACCACATATCTGGTCCAGCTCAAAAAAACATAACCTGGACTCTTCAAACCAAGACTAGATTATTCTACACTAATAGAATAATAAAACAAACTTTATTGATGTTTCACAAATCAGACAAAGGTTTCCCAAAGCTCAAACTTAGTTTTTATTATTCCACTATTAGTGTAGAATAATCTAGTCCTGGTTTAAAGAGTCCAGGTGTTGTGGTTTTTGGGCTGGACCAGGTCTAGTGTGGTCCAGTTGCCTAAAAAACGATGAAAAACAAAGTTTATTGATTTTTCACATATCAGACAAAGCTTTCCCAAATCCCAAACGTGTTTTTAAATATTCTTCTATTAGTGTAGAATAATCTAGTCCAGATTTGAAGAGTGCAGGTGTTGTAGTTTTTGAGCTAGAGCAGGTTGAACACGCGCAAGGGAGTGAAAAATTAGTTGTAATATCCCTTTAGTCATTTCCCGAATCGGAAGCTGGAATCGGAAGCTAACTTCAGCCGAGGGTTTTGCAGCTTTACTTTGGCCTTCATAACGTTAAAGAAACCAGTCAGGTTAGATGTTTGTTATTCACGCTTTATCAATCACAACCTTTAAAGAGCACCGGTAGTACACACACACACACACACACACACACACACACACACACAC